TTTGGGAGGTTGAGATGGATTTTCCAAGTCATGGCTCACAACTGTCTTTGGCCTTTTTTCTCTCCAAGTCTGTTGTACATGGTATGTAGGCATGTGTCTTAACAACGGTTATAGTCTTGCCTCAATCTTCTCCGGTTTTATCATATTTTGTTGCTGTGTTTTGGTGAGAATTTTCCTAATTGCTTTTTTGAGCTTGAAGTGCTGACTAGAGGATAAACTTCTGTAGAACTTTGTAATCACATGGGCCCCAAATCCCTCACCACTGTCAGTTCGTTGTTTATTTATTTAGCTTTCGGTCGAACCAGTTCATTTGCCTAAAAAAAAAAGCGGGCTTTGTCTCATGAGTTTAAACTGGTGCCGTTTTCATCATGTTCATATGTTATTCGAAACGAATGACGTCAGCTTCATTCTGTCTTGTTTATTTCAGTAGTATACTTCTGCCACATAATTTCGCGTCGAAGAGTACTATAATTAAAAATTAAAGATTAAAATTATCAAATTTTCAGTGGTTCTTAAAATATGAGACGAGTGATGCAACAAATGGATAATTACTCAAGGGGCTGGAACTCCTTGTTTCTTTAGAACTACAGTATTTCTGTCATATTTAAAAACGAATTTCATGTTAAAATGTCTTCAAACCACTTTGACTTGCATTTTAATTTTCCAGATTTTCATGATCTTTCAATTTTTATTTCTTAATTGAGAATGATGAGAGGGATTAACTTTTGTGTTCTCTGCTGTTTAGGGAGATGTGATGTGACCCCACTATATATAGTTGGTACTATTGATAGAATGGATAGGTGTGACATTTACTGAGCCTAGCTGGTATTCAAGAGAATGTAATTACTACCAGACACTTACTACTGATATAAATGATTGATCTTTTCTTCTCTTCTTGCAACTTGTCTCAACTAGCTTATGCTATATGCAACTTGTGTCTAAACCTTATTTGCAACTGTAAAATTACCAATAAAGTTTTTGAAAGTTTTGTCCTAATTTTATTGGAAAAGAATATAAGGAGTGATCAGGTTCAATATTGTCATGTTCCTTAAGAGTGCTGAGTTTCCAGTGAGAGCTATAATATTTCTTAAGTGACTGATGTATGATTTGTCTGCCTTAAAATTGGCACAGCCAAACCTCTGGCCAGAAAATATAAATTTCTTCAAATAGGCATTCAAGCCAATGCCCATTACTGCAGAATATGCAATGTCGAAGTCCCCTTTTGAGTCTCATTTCTCTAAAATCTGATAGATGTAAATCATCCATTTTGATAAAGAGATCAACAAACCTCTCCACATTAGTTTCATCTGATCTTATTTAATCCTGTTCCCAGGAAAAAAAGGCTCTTGGAAGTATTTTGATTTTTATCCTCATTGTTAAATATCAGTCCTGTTTCTTTGTTGTTTGGCATGTAATAAGAGTCTTTTCAGACCATTGAATTGTCACATAACTCTTGGAATTCAATAGGTTGGTGAATAAGGTTGGAAAGAGAGTTTATGATTTTGTTGTTCAGCTAAATGATAAGTGAATATGATTTTTATTGGGAAATAATTGATTTACTTAACTATTCATATAACAACTGGATGCCCAAACTAGTACTTGTTTTAATTCACAATTTCTCCACATCATTGATCATATCTGATGATATTTCCAAGACTAATGATTGAAAATAATTTTCCTTACTCCGTTAAAATCCACAATTACTCATCCATTTCTGACAAGCTCTTTGATCTAAGGCTACCGTATCTCTAGTACTAACGTTGTCTCACTTTTCTTTATTTGAAATTGACCTTTGGTAACTGGCCCCGCCAGTTGTGATTCATGTCAAAAAAAAAACTTGTGAAACAAAACATAAACTTTTGTAAACTTTAATTTTTCACTCTAATTGAAGTACATTGCAATAGCAGTAAAGTTGGAGCTCTAAAAAACGCTCATAGGAAAGTGAGTACTTCAAATGATCAATGATAACTTGAGATAGCAATGACACGATAAAAGTATACCATTCAGTTTATTAGCGCTCTTCGACAGGCCACTTGCATCCTTCACAAATAACATCATCTACATCGATTGCCCAAACAATTGCGAGACAAGACTCGAAGTCGTTTGTACAATCCTTTGCTTTTTGAAAATAACTTCCTTCCACACACCACACAACAACTTTAAGACTTTGCCGCCTCCATCTAAGTTACAGAGGGAAAGTTGTCTCAAATACTCGATCCGTTGTTATTTTACTGCTTCTTTTCTTTCGCGATTCTGATCGGAAAACCGACGCAGGCGTATACCAGCGGTTTGTCGCATGAAACCAAAATTTACAGAACATGCGCAACAAAATGCCCCTCTGCTTTCCCTCTGCTTCCCTCTGCTTTACTCTCGTAGATGTTGTCTAAACGCAATAACTTGTTCCTGAGAACTCTCGGCCATTTCCAGTCGCTCGTACCCAATTATTGAACGTGTTTTGTTGTTACATTTATTAAATATGCATCAAAAGTGCTCATAGAACTGAACGAAAGAGGATATGCAGGTAATTTAATGTTAACAACTGAGTTGAAAACGTGAATTAGCCACCCTAAAAAGGTAAAAAAGCTGACGTTTCGAGCGTTAACCCTTCGTCCATCGCTCTGACGAAGGGCTAACGCTCGAACGTCAGCTTTTTTACCCTTTACGGTGGCTAATTTACGTTTTCAACTCAGTTGTTAACACTAAATTACCTGCTATACTCTCCCACCTATGGGCGGCCGTCACCACCAAAAATACAAGGATGTCAAATAGATCAGCAAACACAAAGCTGGTCTAAAGATCAGCTACAGGATAGAATAGCTAATAAAGGAATGGCATGGTCAAATTATAGACGGTTTAGTTTTCCTTCGTGAAACAGAACACCCTAAACATGGATAGTTTAGCCAAATGATAAACGGTTTAGTTGCCCATGCCGAGTTGGAACATGAAATTGTGAAATGGATTAGCTCAATTACGAATAGCGTAGCACTCATTTGCAATACAGTACACAAACGGTGTTGCGTTGCGTCAAATGGCACAGGGTAATGTCGAGTGGCACAGCGTACGCACAAACGGTGTAGCGTTGCGTCAAATGGCTCAGGGTAATGTAGAATGGTACAGCGTACATACATATGGTGTAGAATGCATCAAATGGCTTAGCGTAATGTAGAATGGTACAGCGTACACAGAAATGGTGTAGCGTTGCGTGAAATGGCTTAGCTTAATGTAGAATGGTACAGCGTAGACACAAATAGTGTAGCGTTATGTCCAATAGCTTTGCAGAACATCAGACTCTTTATCTGAACATTAAATTGCTTAGTATTACTTGAAATATTTCGATGTTGTGGCGAATCGTCGAGCTTGCCTGTGGCGTGACGTGAAGGCCACGCCATCCCTTTATTAGCTATGCTATCCTGCAGCTGGTCCTTAAACCATCTTTGTATTTGCTGATCTGTTTGACATCCTTGTATTTTTGGTGGTGACAGCCGCCAAGGCTATCTCGCTGAAACCACCAAAAATACAAACCGCAAATGGAACAGCGATCTGCTGGGGGTACGACGTTATCGAATGTGAAGACTGCCGCGAAACCATCACGTGGTGTAGTCGCTGTATTGAATAGTCTACGCTTTGCCGTTTAGCAGAGCCAATTCGGCAAGTTTCTCCTCTTTTTTTTCCCTGAGGATATTGCATTTTTTTCGTTGTCGTCCATGAAAGTGTCAATTAAAATAGCAACGAGACTGAATTCTACCACGGTTTGCACGCGTTGGTGGGCCAGAACATGTTTATAGTATTAAGTAGTGTTATGACGTGCATTAAATGTCGATTGTCGAGCTCTCTTTTCTTCTCTGACTCACGCTTATTTTTCAATGAGGGTTTAACTGCAAAGGCTCTTTGAACATTGCAGGAGTACGTGAGAAGTTGAATTTTGTTTGTGCCCTGGACGCCATGATAAGAAAACTGATATCCATGATGTGTTTTGACATTTTTCAATCAAAGTGATATCGAAATACTTTAATCTGTGAGCCGGACGATAAAACCACCTCGAGAAGAAGGTTGCTTTGGCAAACACTACATGTTTGATTGAAAAATGTCAAAACAGATCA